TATATATATATATATATATGTATGTATGTATATATATATCTATATATGTGTGTGTGTGTGTGTACATATATATATATACACACACGCACATACACACGTGTTACAGCAGCCATTTCTGTCATGAAGTCGAGAGACACGCATCGCCGAAACCTGGAACCAGAAAGCCTGAAGACCCAAAAGCCCTGAAACCACTAATACCACGCAAAGCCTAAGCCCGAATCTGACATAGGCTATAGGTCACGAGAGCACACTTGAAGAGGGACTTGCGGCGACAATGTTGCACATCATTCAGTCAAACCTCTATCTTGCACCCCTCAACCCCTAAACCCTAATGCCCTCAACCCTACCCTAAACCCCAAGCAACCGCAAAAGCTGCTGAAGCCCCAACCCTTCAACCCCGAAATCGACTAACCCTGATACCTCTCAACTTCGAGCGCTGAGACGACCGAAACCCGTCAAGGCTCCATTCAATACCCCACAGCCCCAAAGCCCTGAACCCTAAAGGACTCCATAAAGACCTTCCAAGCCCTTCCAATGCTTAAGGCCTATAGGCTTTAGGATCTAAGACACGAGAGGCTGGGGCCTCTAGAGCCTGGATCCAGCCCTTCGCTTCGGTATCCTCTGGGCTTTTACCTTCTGAAAGGCTTACATTTAACTTTGGGTCTTACCGGCGTCGTTTTAAGGCTTCCTGTCTAAAGGTTTGGGGCTTCGCACTTTCTTTCAGGTTGATTTTCTGTGTACAGAGTTTTAGAGTGCTTCTGTTTTGGTTTGCAGACGGGCTTGTTTTACCCAGGATGCTTCGGGCTGGTTCACAACGGGTATAAAGTTCAAGGCTTAGCTTCCATCAAGCCTAAACCACAAACCCTGAACCCTAAACCGGGGGGGGGGCAGCCCTAGGTTCAAAAGCTTCGGGTTATAGGGGATTTAGATTACTTAGGGCTTCCGAGAGACCGCTCCAACGCGGTAACGGTTTAGGATTTAGCCTGTCGCAACTCGGGGAATGCAGGCGAAGTTAGTCCATGGTTCGCAGGGGAGGCGCAACTCCCGAATAGGATTTACACTCTCACAACTCAGACAAGCCGGGCGAGGATCCATGTGCGTGCGGTCGGTGTGCAAAGAGGGAAACTCACGATGCCTGCGACTATGCAAAGACCCCAGAATAAAGTAACAGTAGTAACCGGGGGTCACCCCGAAAGCTAATGAAACCCTGCAGGCACCCTGACCATTCCGACCATGACTTCTTAAAGGCCGAAAAGCTCAACACGATGGAACGTGAGTCGTCCTACAAAAGATAATCAGCCAAAAAGCCCTCATACAAAGAAGGAGGTTGAAACTCGGGAGCGTTTTTGCCCCTTCAATCTAAAGAAGCCGAAGAGAAGCTTCAGATACAAGCAGACAAGATACATGGACACTACATCCTCACACAACAGGTGACAAACCAACTAACCTTCCGGAAGACTCTCTACTCCCGAAAACTTTGTATCCGGCTATGCTACAGAGCTCACTTCAGAACGAACTCTTGCGGCGGCTGAAACACTTCGCGGCTCTGTACCTCTCCTTCTGTATGGGCTTGGCTCGGCTTTCTCACTGCATATTTGGCAAAGTAGTTCCTTTTTGGGGTTCATATATAGAATCCTATAAGGTAACCCTAAAAAGGAAATACTTTAGGGCCTATGGGTGCAAAGACAGAAGTCTGGAATCTGCAGTCCTGCGGTCCTGACTATTTGGAACAAGGACTCGGGATATGTACGTGTATGGTAGCTCGCGGGTTGCAGAGGAACAGAGCATTCCTGAACATGGCGTAACTCTGCCTAGGGACAGTTTCGCAATCCCCGCAGAGCATCTGCATCCTTCAGGGATTTGGAATGCCAGGCCAGTCTCAACTTAAACACGGTGTCGCGAGTATAGGATTTAGGTTGCTGGGGCTGAGTGCTTGGGCACGTTGCCAGTGTCATTAGTGCAATAAACACGACGACGACGGTGACTGAAACTACAGTGCACCTGTCAACAAGACAAACAGTCTTAACTGCTTGCTCATCTTATGCTAGCCGCCTTTGGAGAGTTTGTAGAATACAGATACAACGGCTCGTGCAGCAAAGCTACAACCACGGAGAAAAAAACTGGGGTGATCGAGCGTGCTATTCTTGTTCCAAGTAACAGATCTTAATGCTGCTGACAGCTCTTGCTGTGGGTCGCAATCATATGCGATGCTGCGAGATAAAAGGGCGAACCACTGCATCACTGTCGCTTTGATCACTCAATTGCCGCAGGTTTGCTTCTTGCACCTGCAGTACTGAATGGAGTGTCGTACTTGAAGGCATCAGCCTGTTTCAGGTTGAACAAATGCTTACGACAACCCCGTGCTCCCGGCATAGTGTCGTGCAGATTTCTGGGCACATCTTGGAGGGACTCGTCTTCCTGTACGGTGCGTTGTGTTGTCTGGGGTGCCAGTCGTGCTCATGACACGGTGCGGCACGTCTTTTGGACTCGTGGATTGGGCAATCCTGGGCTGCCGGGTTCTGTTTGACCGTCTTAAGTACATCCTCCAAAAGTCTTCTGTACTATAATGCTCTGAGACTTAAGGGTCTGGCTTGAACCAAGCCTTAACGTCAAGAAAGTGCTGCCAAAACCTCGGCCCCCTCTGCGTCCTCGGGGGAAATGCGACGGTTCAAGCCCGCTGCCACTTCATCAAAGGTGATCCCGGCAGACCTCTTCTTCTTGAAATCATAGGGTTTAGGGTTTAGGGTTTGGGGCTTAGGGTTTAGGGTTCAGGGTTTAGGGTGGGTCGCGCTTGGCACTATTAGGGTTGGGTTCACGTGGTTTAGTTTTGTGGCTTTGGGTTTCGGGTTCTTGTTGCCTGCTGCACTGCCAGGCCACTTGAAGAACTACCTTCAACCTCCAAGGCTCAATCACTAACATCATGTCAAAAAGGCAGGGGACTCCGCCTCCTCCCTCCTTGAGCGGAATCCTGGTCCTTACCAAACCCTGAAGGGGACCTTCCGACAAAAAGCATGCATAAAGCCCCACAAAAACCCCGTCCCATACCCTCAACCCTAAACCCTAAACCCTGAACCCTCTCCCTAAAAAAAAGGCCAAGAAGCAGAAGGCCTAACTTCCTCGGACGCTTCGCCTCAGCTCCCTCGGGCTGGTCCGTCATGGCCGTGTGGCTTCTGGGGTGTAGGGGTTTAGGGTTCAGGGTTTAGGGCTTCTGGGGTTTTGGATTCTTGGTTCTCGGGTTTTGGGGTTCAGGGTTTTTGGCATTGGGGTCTTGGAGAGTAGAGCTTTAGGGCTTTGCGGATCTCGGGTGCTAGCGGCGGTTTTAGGTTCAGGGTTTATGGTTAGGGCTTCGCGGGTTTAGGCTTCTTTTGCCTCCGCCTGGCAGGGACGACCCCTTCCTTGCAGCTGCAGGATGCTCAGGAAATGTCTTGAAGACTGGAATGGCTGAGAATGTTTGGTCACGAATCAGGAGACCTTCATGAGCAGTACGATCACAATGTGGAAAATGAGGCGCCCTAAACCTTAAACCCAACAAGCCCCCCTTAGATGAAGGACCTCCGAAATGGACCCCCGACCCCTGTTTTGTCCAACCACCATCTAAAGGCCACGGTCAGGAAGCAAAGCCTCCAGCCCATGTTTGAAGCCTGCATCCAAAAGACTCGCTCAACCCGCCCGACTCAAAAGTCTTTTCGGCTTCTTCAGAGGAGGGTGCTTGCCAGTGCTGGGTTCAACTTCCAACTTGCAGAGATCCAAAAAATATTTCAAAATGCACAAGTGAGACTACATTCTCCTTGCTTTGTGTTGAAGGCACACAAAGGGACAAAGGTTTTCAAGGTCGATGTTGCCCGGCCATGGCAGCAACTTCAGTCAACTGCAAGCCTTGCTCTTCCTGTAGCTTCCCTGAGCACCAGCGGATGCTTCCTTACCCAACACCAAAGTTGACACCCCCACGTGTGAAGCCCCCAAGCAGATCCGAACACAATGCTGCGCACACCCAATGACGAATAGACCGAACCCCAGCAGCCCAAAAAATGTTTAAAGCCCCAAATCCTAACAGCCCTAGACCCCTAAACCCTCACTCAACACTCCCAAACTCAGCCAGAAATCGGCGAGGCTTCTTTTCCTTTCATCGCCGGCCAACCCTCCACTCCGTCGGTTCGACAAAGGTGTCTGGCCGCCTGCCATGTTTAGGGCTTTCTGGCCTTGCGCAAAACTTGGGTCTATAGGCGGCTATCAATACACATGCAAGGTGTATTGATAGATGGCCTAGGGCTCTAAACAGTACAAATACGTGTATCTCTAGCGCTAAACTACTCGTGGTGGGGCGTGGGATCTAGGAACAGAGGGTGGGGTATCCAGCAGGTTATGCAGATGTGGGGTATTGGCCTCTGCAGACTTGAGGCTTGTGCATCTTCGTATTTTGAGAGTGCTCGGTGGTGTGATGCACAGGCAGGATAGGCATGCATGCGTTGGCGGTGTAGCAGGGCAGAACGTGTATCTACATGGACACAGAAACTTAAGCTGAGGCTACAACAAACGTGCCCGTGCAGGAAGAGTCAAGTGCTTTCCCTCAGCCTGCAGCATGGTTACATGTAACAGCCAAAGCCACGGCATGAACTCCGAGGGTCATGCCAAGTTTTAAGCGTATCGATTTGTCCTGATCTCGACTTCCTGTTCAACGTCGGGCCCCAAATGATTGGCAGGTTCTTAAGATGTATTGCAAACGACATCTGCTTCTCTGCTGAGGATTGGGCGGGCCTGAACAGCGGTTTCATGCGGTTGCCAAAGACAGTTACACGAACTTTCTGCATGCATGCTCCATGTTGCCCATGTGCCTCATGTGCTCAGGGCTTCGACATAATTTTGCTGGACCCTAAACTCTGCAAACCCTATACACCTAAGGGTGTAGGTCGTGTAGGTTCTTGTGGCATGTGGACTTCCAGCTGAGCAGCACAAGGTAGCGCGAGGAAACCCTCAGATGCAGCAACAGTGCCAGCTCTGTCCGTTGTACAGCCCCAAAGGGTCCTACTATATACTTTGGGGGCCCAAAAACCTCCAAAGTAGCTACCATATTACTACTTGGACCCTTTGGGAGCTGACAATGCTAAAAAAGACGATGCCGTGTCCATGGCATGCCGAAAACCTACCGGATTCACGTATCCAACAAATACAACTTCTTTCGAAACTCGTAAACCCTAGACCCTAGATCCTAAACTGCCAGGGGCCAGGGGCCCCCACAGACTGGAATAAAACTCCTCATATGTCCCAAGTGGCAGTTCGTGGGCAAAACGCTTGACTGGCACCTGATATGGGGGGGTGTTTTACCCGCGGTATTCGGGGTTCTATAAGGGGTTACGGCGCACTTGCTACCATGCCGTACTTGTTTCGACTGACTCTTAACCGTTCGGCAACCGCAGCTGCCGCAGCTTCCCTGCGACATGCGCACGCAAAAAAATGCAAACAGCTCTACTGGAATCGCTGCACTTACTAACTAAAGCTGCTTCGGACTATTGAAACATAGATGTACAATAAGAAGTGCTGGAAGAAAGTTTCCGGAATGTGCGCAAACTACTTCCGAAGCTCAAGGCAAGCTAGCATCCCGTCCTCCGTGCTCAGCACATGCTATCTGCACAGGATGTCATATTTGGACAACAGAAAACCCTCAAACCACAAAACCTTCCCGGCCGATTGCCAGCAGCTAACAACATAGATTTGTAATGCAGCGAATATATAATCTAAAAACTGTAGTATGTCATAGGAACTATATAGTACAAACTGTGTAGTATCATATATATATATATAACATAAGTGATTTGTAGAAGATATAGCATGTAATATATATATATATATAGTATATAATATAGGACAAGCATTCTGCACCATGATCTGAAATTATGGGAGCGTTCATGTGGTATACCTCTTGATTCGACTTCTTTAGAGTCGAAGCTGCGCTCCCCTATAAGGCTTGCACTTAGGGTTGTGGATTCGAAGCTTAGGATTTAGGATTACAAGGCTTGCGGTTAGGGCTGGGGCCTTTCAGGTTTTGGGGAATTCTGCTCCTACATGGGTAGTTCTCTAAATCAGGACCCCTTTTCGTGTCCTTTTACAAGGGTGCCCTAGTATTTTGGGAACCTCAAAAGGCACCCTAGTTTAGAGAACTGCTCACATGTCCTAAGACCGATTCGAGGCTGCTTGGCGCCTGGTGCTTCTCGAGCTGCAGCTTCAGACGATGGCAGCCTTGTGCATCAGTAACCCCTGAACCCCCTAACCCCAACCCTAATACCTAAACAAACACTAAACCCTGACCCTGAACCTTCCCCAACCCCGGAAACCTAAACCCTCACCCCACACCCTGGCAGCAAAACTAACAACCCAGGGTCTGGCACAGGCTTCAAGGGAGCGCCCCCTCCCCCCCTAAAGAACAGAGGAGAGCTTTGTTATGTTTTGTTTAGGGCTTTAGGATTTAAGTGTTTCGACTCTCACACTCGCACGCAGCAGGCAAGGCTCCAGGGTTAAGGGGTTTGGGGCTTAAGCGTTTAGGGGCCATGCTCAAGAGATCCTAGCGACGCCATGGCTCACTGCAGCCAAGCTGCAGTCGTCAGACCTTCCAGCCGCAAGGGATTCTCTGGGGTCGAAGCTGTTGGGGCTGGCGGCAGACGAAACTACAGGATCAACCCCAAACCACGTCTGAAGTTTTTGCTGCGTGACTCGGGTCGAGGGTTCGGCATGCAAGATGTTCGCAGGAGGCCGGCTTGCATTGCACAGTCTACGCCGCAAACCATGCAGCACATAGCAACGGCCTGATTCGCCAGTGCCTTCGACTGATGTGTGTTGGTTTCCCCTTTAGCCGCGACCCTGCCAGGAGGATTTTGGGTGATGGCTCGTGTTGAAGAGGTTCGAAGAGCCTACTCCCGAGTCCCGAGGAGCCTTTCAGAAGCCCACTACAGAGCACCACAAGCAAGGTTACGACTCCCATCGACTCCCTACCTCATCGTCTAGACACCATTGATATGACCATGGCATGTTGTAAGACAGCTGCATCTAATGCAGAAGCATGAATAATGAGCTATACCATTCCATAGAGCTCCTTATGCTAGTGATACGATACGATAAGATACCCCAAATGATTGAATCCCTGTTCTCATTTGCTCAGGCCCCTAATATAGGAGCCTAAATAATTACCTGTGGGTTCGTCATTGCAATTACAGTATAATGGGCCCCAAAACTCTTTTTTTGGCCCCTATACTATAGGGCAGGGGGGGGTCCGGTGCCTCACTTCCCTCGGCGAGACCCAGCAGTACTCAGTGCCACCATATTGCCGCCTCGATTCAGGTTTTGGGACAGGTTCTCCTTTGTAGATTATATACTGCAGTTGACAATAAAGGAATGCTAGCACTGGTAACATTTGACCCGTTTTTGGTTTCGCGTAGGGTGCATCGGTCAGCGTTCCGGCCAGTCCCTTTAAACCTCACCCCGCAGGCAGCGGAGGCACTTGCAAATTCACGTATAGTCTCGTGCATGCAAACCCCTATACCATAAACCCCAAGCCCTATACAACCGGAAACCGTGTTGTGAGGGCTTCAAGAATTCTTTGAGCGGTCTTGTTTTGTTTCAGATGTGGCAGGTGCATGTGTACTTGATAGACATGTAAACCACTGCAGCATCTATCTATCTATCTATCTATCTATCTATCTACACGCCTACCATCCACTTGTCTGTGTGACCTTTCTATCTCCTATCTATCTATCTATTATCTATCTATCTATCTATCTATCTATCTATCTATCTATCTACCTGCCCACCCATCCATCCATCCATCCATCCATACATTTAACCATCCCCTATATCCATCCGTTTATCGAGTCTATCTGTCTAGCTACTTATCCATCCATCCATCCATCCATCCATCCATCCATCCATCCATCCATCCATCCATCCATCCATTCCTCCATCCGTCCTTGCATCTTTCGCCCTCTCCCTCTCTCTCTCTCTCGCTGTCTGCTTGCGTGTGGGTGTCCGTCTCATCTCTTCTGCCCTGCTTGGGGATGGTCAAGATCTCCGGTCCCTCCGTTCCTCTCTCTCTCTGCCGTGCACACTGCGGATTTATCCATTACCCAAAGGGTCCAAGGTATAGTATAGTATACACTTTTGGGACCCAAAGACCTACAAATTAGCTACCATATTAATACTTGGACCCTTTGGGTTACCTTCTCTACTAAATGAGTCCGAAGGCGTCGGGGCTCTTTGGGCATTGCCACTGTAAAGAAACCTTAAACCCTGAACCCCAAGCCCGCAAGCACTGGGTGTTCCGGCTCAGAACCTCGCGCCTTTATCGACACCTCATGAAACGGTTTAGGGGCTTTTCTTAAACAGAATTACCGTTTAGGGTTTGGGGTTTATAGGATTTAGGGTTACGTCCAAGCACGATAAACCCTAGACCTAAAACCAACCCACCTGGCAGGCCACTGGGCTGTAATCCCAAGTCCCCGCGGGTTACTGAGAACCTGGCGTGCTGAAGTAGATCGGTGCAAACCGCCGCGGAAGGAGCGCAAAGGTATCCTCGAAGTCTATGTGGCTTGCCAAGTAGGGTTTAGGGAATCGGAGTTCCGCGCTTGGGATTCATAGCATGCAGAGTCTAGGGCTTAGGCTCAGCACTGCTCATAACACTAAGCAACTCCTGACCAATTCAGCGGGGCGTCGTGCGGGTCTGTCCAGCTTCCGACGGGCAGGTGCACGTGGTCCGGATCGTAGATTCGAATGTCACCCAAAGGCACACCTGTGAATCCAGTTCGCCGATGGGAGGCTGTTCACTGGACCAAAGCAGGCATTCGGGGTCTGAGATTCAGTCAATGTGTAAAAATAGCCCTGTTCCCAGAACCCCTACTGAACAGTGTCAAAAAGGGATGTGATGGCTTCAGGTCCGAGCGGCCGAAAACTTGTTGGAGTTTAGTTGGTGTGCCATTCGGGGTTGAGTGTATAAGATTTATGTAGGATTTGGGTCATGGGTGGAGGCTTTTGTGTGGCCACGTCCGATGCCAGATGGACGGGCAAGCACCCTAGCTGAAAACGAAGCCCCGCCCTGCCGTGCATAACTGAAGGCACCACGAGGCCACCGTTCGGAGACTGAAAAAATCACTAGGATCTTGGCCAAGGTGCTGAAGTGCATGTCTGGACGCAGACGAATGACCCAGTCGAAAGGTTTTCCCTGCTGCTGCCTGAGCCACAGCTCTTGTTCACAAGCGGTGTTGTGAACCCGATGCAGCAAAGGTCATCGTAGCGGCGCTAATGAAACTGACATATCCAGAGTGCTACTACCAAAACTGATAGTAGTAGCCGCAGCATGCAAGCACGCAACAGCAGCAGTAGCAGCAGCAGCAGCAGCAGCAGTAGCAGCAGCCGCAGCAATAGTCTCCGTAATGGTATTATCCTTTTAGTAACAATTGCATTTTTAGTTTACATTAAATTTTCAAGCAATACAAATGAAAGTGCAGTAGCAGCTGTGGCATTCGTAGAAGTCGTCGTCGTCGCATTAGTAGTAGCAGTAGTGGTGGTAGTAGTAGTCGTCGTCTTAGTAGTACTAGTAGTAATAGTAGTAGTAGTAGTAGTAGTAGTAGTAGCAGTAGTAATAGTCGTAGTAATAGTCGTAGTAGTAGCTGCAGTAGTAGTGGTAGTAGTAGTAGTAGTAGTAGTAGTAGTAGTAATAGTAGTAGTGGTAGTAGTAGTAATAATAATAATGGTAGTAGCAGTAGTAGCAGTAGCAGTAGCAGTAGTAGTAGTAGTAGTAGTAGTAGTAGTGGTAGTAGTCGTGGTAGTAGTAGTAGTAGTAGTGGTAGTAGTAGCGGTAGTAGTAGTAGTAGTAGTAGTAGTAGTAGTAGTAGTAATAGTAGTAGTAGTAGTAGTAGTAGTAGTAGTAATGGTAGTAGCAGTGGCAGTAGTAGTAGTAGCAGTAGTAGTAGTAATGGTAGTAGCAGTGGCAGTAGCAGTAGTAGTAGTAGTAGTAGTAGTAGTAGTAGTAGTAGTAGTGGTAGTGGTAGTGGTAGTAGTAGTGGTACTAGTAGTAGCAGTACTAGTAGTAGTAGTAGTAGTAGTAGTAGTAGTAGTAATAATAGTAGTAGTAGTAGCAGTAGTAGTAGCAATGGTATCAGTAGTATCAATAATGTCAGTAGTAATAAACGGTTCTGCTACTGCGGCTGCCAGCGCGCCTCTGTTAGAACAGCATCCGCTGCGGTTGGCACTGCTACTATGAGGAACATGCTTATCGTAAGCACGAAGTCAAATCTTGGAGTCCGCAGAGGTTTCAAGCTGCCACAAGGTCTTGCTTGGCAGGCAGTCGGGATTTTCGGCAGGTTCGTGAATGCTCGCTTTTTGGTTCTGGTTTAGCTTGCAAGAAATGAGTCGTCACTGGCTCTGCAAACCCCAGGCCATCAGTGCAGTGTCTTTACGGCCGCCGGTCGTAGCAAATACTGCAGATGAAGGAAGTTCAGAACGTCCGGAAGCAAACCGATAGGTCTACAATGTACAAACTGTACAAGAGGAAGACTGACACAGGAGTTTTGATTGTGGGGCTGAGATGAAGTAGAGCTTTGAGGTCTTGACTTCAGAGTTCACAGTTCGGGGCTTTAGAGCTGGAGGCTTCGAGGTTAGTTCATGGCACCCTCTGAGCGCCTCCTGGGTGGAGGTGGCTCGTCCTGGAAGCGAACAAGTTCATGAGGATGCCGATGACAATGATGACGATGATGGTGATGACGGATGTTTGAACTACCAGTGCTGTGTCGAAGATCTCTTGCCGAGACACACCCCAAATCCCCAACACCACAGCAGTCAGATTTGCCCACAGCAAACAAGCTTCACAACAGCGGGTGGTCATGGTCGTGCTTCTGAAGATGTAACAATAAGTTCTCCACCTGACCCTGTACCTCGCAGTGAAATTGTCAACTGGTTCTGCAAAACTGCAGCCGCTATGGGATGAATTAGCCTAGGAGTTTCGGCTTTAGGAAGTTTCCGGTGTCAAAGTGTAAAGAATGAAATGGTTAAAGTTTGACGCTCTCAACGCCACGGAGACCCGCAGCCTTAACCCATCAAAGACACATGGGGCGCTCTTATAAGGCTTGGAGACTGGTGGACAGGGTTTGGCTTCTTTTTGATAGGATTAGGCTGGAGGAATCCCCCCCGCAAGGTGCAAGGCCTCTAGGGTCCCAAGTTTAGGAAGCCACGTGCCCTTGCAGAGTTTAGCCCTACCCACGACCCTAAACCCCTAAAACCTTCAACCCTGAACCCTGAACCCTAAACCCTGAACCCTAAACTGTAACGGAGACCCCAAACCCCAAGCCGGGAGACCTACACTGCGCAGAGGCCGACACCCTAAGGGCTGACGCCAGAAACCAAACAGCCCTCATATAGGGGGGGGGGGGTTTGTAGGGCTCCTTTATAGTATAATTCTGAGAAGTAGCCCTAGAACCTAGGAAGATTATTGGTAATTATTTTGGCCTCTATGTTAATTCTCTACAGCCCCCGGTCCTTGACGTCTTCCCTGGGATCTGCGAAGCGGTCTTCCGGCGGCTCCTCGTCAAAATCCATGTCCGGTCCGGCCGGACCGTCCCGGAAACCTGTCAACGGCAGCGCCAAAGGTTGAAAGTTCAGATTTAGATAGGGACTTTGGTTCACATTCTGGTATCGCTTGCTAATTTTCTCAGGGGCTTTACGCCACAACCACTCAGCCGTATATGCTGAGGGCCTGCAACAGTCACCGAAACAACAAAACCCCCCACGCGTCAAAATCATGCAAACTTTGGAGGAAGCATCATAAACTCCGATTAACCTATGGAGTATGCGGCCTTCTAGGTTTACAGAGAAACTTTCTTAGAGGCCGGGTGTGCTGATCAGCCTCATACACGAACACACCCAACAGCAAAGCCCAAGAAGCTAAACATGGGATCTATGGGGCTCAACCCAGACAACCACAAAACAGCTGAGAAACTCTGACTCGCATGCATGGAGAACCTACAATCCTCCGCAATTCATATGTCCCAAACAAGCCGCAGCAACTTCTCACAGCTCGAACACTTTTTTGTGGTACAGTACTACGGGCTAGTTGCCTAAAGGAAAGGAGTTTTAAATCCACAGCACAAAGCAAGTGAAGCTCAACCACGAGCCGGAAACTCCCAGATACGGAGGCTAAGCCCCAAAAATCTAAAACCCTCGACCCTCCAAAGTCTCAAACCTTCAACCTCGAAGCTTGAAACCTCCCAACCCTCTGCTCTGAAGCCTAAACCCCAAAGACCCAAACTCGCAGAATCCGCCTTCGAGCGACATTTGTCGATTCGCGGGCTCACGAGGGCCTGAAATCATGCCAAACAATTCTGCGGGTTCATCCCTGAAGCCGAGCCCCTGCAGGGACAACGGCGTAAACCTCAAACTCCAAATTCTGACCCTGACCATAGGCCCTATGGCTCCTAGGATCCTGTGTATCGCGCTTACAAATTTTCGATAAAACCTTGAAGAGCTTTATACTGCAGAGCTGTAGACTGTAGAGTCACTGTAGAGGTTTAAAGGATCAAGGCTTTTGGGTCTACGTGTTTTGGATTTGAGGTTCGGAAGTCCGCCTTCATGATCCTAAACCTTCTCATCCCATTCCAACTGATGTCACAGCTTAGCTACCCCTCTCCCCAAACCCCAGAAACCCCAGACCCCAGAAAGTACCTATGTCCCTACACTCTATTTCCTAGACTTGAAACTGCAGGGTGTCCCTACACTCTCTACGTAAGTACAAAATTCAAAGGGGGTCGAACTGCGACTGCGAATTTTCGACCTTGGCTCGCTCTCGGGAGCGGCGGTACTCCTTGGGGGCCTGGCAGGTTGTGTGCTCTGCAGGTTCAGGATTTAGGGTTTGTGGTCTGGAGGTTTAGGATTTGTGGTATGGAGGTTTCGTTCAGAAGGCTTATGCAGGGTTGATGGGCTCTTGGAAGGCTTCGGGAAGTGAGAGCAGAGAAGCCTATCGGGTTGAGGATGGATGAATAGACAGACAGATACATAAATGATCTGTGTGCTTTCTGTCGTTAATTGTGCACATCGTATGCATTCTGTGCATCTACACATAGGCATATTCTGTTGGTGTATTTGCATACATCCATCCATCCATGAATGGATGGATGGAGGTGCATATATATATATATATGTATATACATATATATATATATATACATATCATGTATGTATTGACTGTGGATATATGTACATACACACACATATACGCGGGCACATTCATATAGATACACACGTGCATATACTTATACGTTATATATATATATAAATATAGGCATACCTGGGCTGAGGTTTTTCTTGCTAGAGGTTGCCCAAGTTAAAGCTTGAGCGAGCCGAGTAAGCCAAGGCTCCACAAAGCCTGAACACCACCCCAAATACGAAGCCTTTTCAGAATACTTGCGGTTTCCTCTAACGTAGGTTGGTGTTAACCGAAACTCTTCGATGATAACTTACTTAAAAGCTCCTTGGGATTTTTACGGATTCTTGGTGGATGTCCGCGTCCCTTCCCCCCATCCCTTCGCACCGTCATCAAAGAGGTCGCCCCTCCAGGCGGCCCGCGGCGGTTCAGCCGGAGGCGCCTTGCAGGAATGAGAAACGCACGTTTCAGAAAACAGCTTTGAGAAAAGGACATCTTCAGGTTCTGAAGCAAAAGCCCTGGGAAGTTTGAGTGAATCTGCGTGGCGTTTAGCCGGGGAGTCTGAGTCCACCACCAAGCGCTCTCGAAAGTCTTGACTTTAGGGATCGAAGCTCTGTCCCTGTCCACACAATATGCCGCTCCCCATCGTGAGCCACCAATCGTTTGATCTGTAGCTCGAAGGCCGTGAATGACGACACTTGATGCCCCAATTAAAGGCAGACTAAGCTTCGAAGTCTGGCAAAGGCTTTGAAGACCAAACTCCTAAGACGAAAGAATGCGCCCCAAGTCTTATGCAACCCACTGCCGGGAGCTGGCAGGACGTTGGAGATCACCGAAAACCATCATTATCACCGTCGTTGACATCATTGAGTGGGACCAGCAGAACTCCATACATGCACACTTCCCATTTATTTCACCAGCCAGTTTTCAATAACACAGCATGGTGGTCAGTGGTCGGAATCACGAGGACACTTGCTTTTACTGTAGTTGCTCTACTTCTTTCAAGCTCGCTGGGTTCCCCAAAGTCAATCTCAACAGGGACGAGAGAATCTTTTTCAGATGCCAGCAGATTCCGAAGAGCTTTGCTTCGAAAAGAACTTCCATCAGCGGTCTCTTCGTCACTTCACCTGGGAAGCTTCTCCCAGAACCGCTGCAGCGGTGGCAGGCCCAACCTGGAGTGTCCGGACTCAGGATTTTGGGCGTCGCCATGGGTTTGGGAGTTTGGGCTTCGGATCTTAGAGACCTCCCTGAATCCGATTTCCTCACGCCCCCCACCCCCCCCCCCCCAAGTCGCGGAGCAAATCCAAAGCTCATATCTGAAGAAAGCGCAACGGAAAGTCCACTAAGTCCACAAGCCCCAAAACCCCTGCACCACGCACAACCCTTAACCCTACTTCACCTTCTTTCCCTGAATTCTGTTAAACACCAGAACCCTACTAGCTAAACCCTATACCGTACTAAGCCCTAAACCCTACCGTGTACTAAGCCCGAAGACCCTTAAATGCCGCTACACCCTACTGTATCCCCTACTAAACCCCCAAACCTGACTAAACCCTAAACTCGTAAACCGTCTACTGGAGTTCTAGGGCGAGGACGAGGCCAGCATCCCACTTGGGACACCTGGAGGCTCGCGGGCTCTGGGTCTGAGACACTTAGGGTATTAGGTTAATCTAGGGTTCAACTTTGGTTCAGAATTTAAACGTTTTCGAGGGCGGGAGTGAAAGCGTGAACAAGAAGGGTTTAAGGCTTCAGGGTTTTAAGATTCAGGGTTAGTAGGGCTGTAGGGATTTAGGCTCTAGTAGGGTGTTAGGGCTCAGTAATGCTAGTTGGGCTTTAGTGTTTGATGGGGTTCTAGAGTTCAGGGTTTAATAAAGTTTGGGGTCTCGAAAGGTCGGTATCGAAGATCTATACACCCACCCTTCGGATTCCGTAGCATTTGGAGAGATTCAAGCACTTTTTGCTTCATCTAACAGAAACGACCCAGGTGTCGACACCCATTGCACAGATGAGCGTTGTTTTTCAAACCTAACTTGAGATCAGCGAGAAACATTATCCTGTGGGTGCTTTTCTTAGCTTGGGGCCTGGCCTGGGCTGACCTGGGGCCTGGTGCCGATTTTTTGCCGTTTGCCAACAAAGTTTGGCCGCAATTTGCTTCTACCGACGAACGTTTGACCGAAACCTGCTTATGCTGAAGGCTTGGCCTTTTGTGGATTCTCGAGGCCCAACACACCCGAGGCCAAAAGGCCGCACACCTCACAACGAAGTCGTGTCGATGCCCCGCCTGGGCCGAGCACAGAATCGCCCCATTGTCCCAACTCCGCCAACAAGTCGGTGTCGCCTGCAAGAGTCGCATGTTCCGTTTGGCGGCGATCTGCATGAAATTCGGGGTTTGGGTTTTTTCGCGGATGAAAGGTTACAGGGCTGATGCTGTGGGTGTGCTATCTCTCCCTTCTACACCTTACAAACCAAACCTTCAAGCCATGAAACCCATACCCGACAACGTTAGACCCGAAAACCCTACCAGCAAGCATGAATCTCTGAAGGCTTTTCGAGGCTTTAGTGTACTTGGGAGGTTAAGTTTGGACCGTTTTCGATTTCGGGATGTAGGATTTGGGCTTTCGGCTTTACTTTCATGGTCTCTTGGGTTAGGATTTCACCCAAAACCCAGACGTTAGGGGTTTCAAAGCGTCTAGGGGTGTGGGGCTCATGGGTGTAAGGGTTTGGAGCTGAAGGAGGGTGGTGCTCAGTCCTTTGAAATCTCGGGGTCGTAGACTGCTAGGGTCCTGTAAGGACAAACAAACAGATACAGAAGAGGAGGCTGTGGGGCCTGCGTCTTTGCAACCCACTATGTTCAGTAGTGGTTTTGTATGTTTCGAGTGGTTGTGTGTCTGGCTGTGGGTTTCTGTGTCAGTTGGTCGCTTGTTTGGCGCACGTGGGTGCACGATTTCGTTTCCAACTACAACATCAGCTCTGAGTTGTTACAAACCACGGCGTCTGTTTATAAACACAAGGTTTGTTTATAAACACCGCGTTTCGGCATACTGTGCTTTCAGCGCTTTGAGTTTGTTGGATGTGTTCACTGTCATGTGCCTCGTTTCTTATACGATGTTTAATGAAGCTAGATGGTTAACTCTCGTCTGATACGTGCTCATTGTCTACATGTCCGTACTCATCGTATTGTGTCGGAAGGGAGGGCGGGGAGGGGGGGGCAGGACTGTTGGGTTGATGTTGGAAGACCCCTCCCCCCCCACCCCCACCAGCACCAACGCGCCGCACGCCATTCACTCCAAGCAACAAATTCACAAACCTCACCTTGCTGCAACTTTTGCATATGGACACACTGATACGTAGGACTTTCTCCATGTGTCGGCTTGTGTGGTTTAGACCAAGACCTTGTTTGACTGAGAAAGCTATACAAACACTGGTATTTACGGAGTTTCCGCTTATGGGAAACATGATAATGTTATGTGGTCCGTTGTTTATAAACACCTAGCCTTGTTTATGAACATGTACGTTGTCCATAAAAACATGCGTTGCTTATGTGGGCAATGGTGCATATATGCGTACGCCTGTCTTCCCGTATAAACACAAGTGCTGTTGGTTCCAGTCCTCGCCACCATTATAACCATAGTACAGGACCCGAGGGATATGAAGGGATTGTATCAAACCAAAAGGATTTCTGATACGGATACTTGGAGATGGAGGCCTTCGCCACAATTATAACCATAACAGAGGACCAGAAGAATATCAAGCCAACGAGGCTTCTGATACGGATACTTGTGGAGATGGAGGCCATGCGATCACGCCAGGGCCTGGGACCACAAGGATTTGTGGATCTTTATCATTCCCCTAGCGAGACTGCGGCTTCAGCCGCGGCTGCCCCATGAAACCAGATGCCCGCAGTCATAAATTGTGGGTAATAACCGAATCTATAGGGCCAATCGCAGCTAGCAGGACATGAGCATGTGCACTGGTCTCAACACCTGTTTAGAATCCTACACACTTCGCAAACAATAAATAAATTAATTCAGTACAAACATGTTCTCAACATTGCATGCCAAAACCGATGATGCTTTGAGTTCTAATCTTGGGTGGATTGGCCTGATAGGATGCAAAGTCTTGAAGGGATAAGATATGGCTCCGTGAAGGACGTGTCGACTCGATGCGGCCTACCCCAAGACTTGGTTTGATAAAGTAAAGCATACACGGTATTTACGGTGATTCCTGCCTGCGATAGCTGTTGCGGGAAGAAGATTGAATACGTAGCCAATCAATACCGCGGCGTCGTACCCGTTGACGTCTGACTAATTATGCACAGGCTAAACCTGACCTTTAATACATTACTCAGGCATAGAAGTGAACGCTACTTTGTGGTGTAATGCTGCAGGTACCTTAGAACTATTTGAAGATGTTGGAATATGATACAAAAAGGATCTGCAAAAACCCAGGCGGCAACCAACCTGTCTTGTAACAAAACGTGGGCCCTCACAACAGTCCCCTCCGTAAACATATCCCTAATCTACAAAGTAGGTTTTCAAAAACCCAGGCCC